CCAGGGACCATTCTCCGTTTTTAGAGGTGGAAACGACGATTAGAAAATCCTCAGCGGTCTCTCAGACCGCTCACAGCAGTTAAAGGTTAAGCAGTAGATAATTATTTTAAAAAGAAAATTGTTTATGTTACTGACTCTCCAACTCAAAAGCATGATGGCAGTTTTCCAACCTAATGATGTCGAATTAAAGAGAAGTCAACTTTATGTAAACGAATAGCAATATATAAGCGTAAGAAGAGATTCTCTACAGCAAGCACAAACAACGTGCTCCTGTAGATACAATTATTTACTATCAAAACTGCTTTGCTAAATTAATGTTAATGGCTCCTTACGCGCTTTCTCTGAGTTTTTTCACTTTGCTTTCGCATAGAACTAAATTTTGAATCTCCGAATTCCCATTGGAGTATCAACTATCATATGCATTACGAAAGCAAAATAAAATCAGATCTTAATACCTTTTTTGTATGCTTTCTTAAATTAATTCAAAACATTTATTCATTATTTAACACATGATAGAGTTAAATTCAAAACATTTAAGTAATCATGGGAATTTCAATTTGTCATTAAAACTAACATGATGAAATCTTTCTGCGACTTGTCTTCTTTGCTCTCTCAAATGTGTAAAATGAAATGTTATATGTTTTATTTACAAAAACAAATAAATAAATAAAATAAGTAAAGAATTCTAGAGTTTAAGTTCTATCGACATTTGAAAAACAAGAAAATCAAAATAAGTAACATATCAGTTGAAATCAAAAATTTCTGAAATTCCCTTTTCTTAGAATACGTAGCAAATTAATTAGTAAAAGCTGAGACGAAAAGGTTTAAAAGATCTAATTAATGATCACTTTGAAGTTACTTTAGTCTTAATTAATTTACTCTTAATTTTATGCTAATTACAAATCACTACTTTAAGCGATTTCAGTTCTTTTTTATTCTAACATAAAATGACTCTAAATTATTTGGAACTGAAGAAAGAAAACAGTATCAAAAATTCGTTGTTGTAATCTCTTAATTTAAGAAAAGTAGTTAAACGTCCTAACTTCATTGCTATCGAAGGAACAGTATATAAAAAAATCATTTGAATTTAGTGCAAATTAATTAATTTAGAAAGTAAACTATTGCATTTTGGATTTTGCTATATTTCGAAATTGCTTTACTTTTGTTAAAGATTGCTGAAAAATAATATATAAGCTATATAACTTAGTGAAAAATTACCACATTCCCTCGTGTGTACTTTCATGGTGTAAGGTTTCATGGTTTGGCATCTAGCTGGCAGTTGGAAGATCCGTACAAATTAATTTAATTTAGAAAGTAGACTATTGCATTTTGGATTTTGCTATATTTTGAAATTTCTTTACTTTTGTTAAAGCCTAAGGTTGCTGAAAAATAATATACTAAAAGCTATATAACTTGGTGAAAAACTACTACATTCCCTCGTGTGTTTTCATGGTGTAAGTTTTCATAGTTTGGCAACCAGCTGGCAGTTGGAAGAGCCGTGGTTCGTATCCCGGTGAGAGCAAAATTGATTTTTCATGCTTCCTAGGCCGAATATCGAATGTTATCTTGATGAAAATATTTGAGATATATATAAGTTGATAAGCTATTTATATCAAATAGTTGATAGACCATCAAATTGTAAATTATATAACATGATCTCCAACCTTCTGAAAATATTTAAGATATTTTACTTTAAATGAATCTTTAACAAATGATTTCTTAAACGTAGTTGCATACTAGCTTGTGAGGTGAAGAAGAATTTAGGAACGAGGAACTCTTGAAAATTTGACTGTGCAAAAATTCAAACTTGAGATCTTTGAATTCCGCATCCGTGAGCTTTTTCTTACGTCACAAGAAGTGCATAGGAGGATTGTTTTAATACCTAACATTCCCCTTACCACCGCTACTATCATTTAAATATAACTGGTAGTAATTCGACCTTCAAGCGAGTAATTCAATTTTGATGGAGAATTATAGTCTAACACAGCGGTCAGCAAGCTTGTAGCCGCGGTGTGCCTAACCAATTTACCAATATGATTCAGGATGCCACACAGTATGAAATATTTGAAACAATTCAATTCTCGCGACAATGCATGCAGAGTTAGGGAATAAAAGTCAATAAAGATTATTTAATAGCAGAAATATAATTTGTGACTTTCAGTTTGATATATGATTCTGAATACTAAACAATTTATTCGTGGACTCATATGAAATAATATTTTTCATACGAGAAAAGTTTTGTTCAGAGATATGTGTAGAACCAAAAACGGAAAGCAGACATCCGGTAATTTAAAATAGCTGTCGATTTATCGTTAGAGTTATCTTCCAGAATTTTTTTTTTTTTTTTTTTTTTTTTTTTTTTTTTGTAAATCCGTAAAATTTCTTTTTCATAATTCTGAAGATGTTCGTTCAATAAGTTCCAACTCAAAAGTATAACGTTCATCCACTCAAAAATTGGCTAATCGGATGGAATTTTTAATGAGTCTTTTAAATCTGATTAGAAAGGAAAATATAGGCACAGAAATTTCAAAAGTCTTTGCATCCTTTGAAAAATTTCTCCTTAAGTGCTTTAACGTAAGTTTGGAAGTACATCGTTAGCTATGGTCGATGTATTTTCAAGTGCTTTAATATTTGGGAAGTATTTGTAAGTACTAATATTAATATCAAGGGAAAATATATTTAATTTTGTAGCAAAGCCTTTCCAATATTCAAAACGTTCAAACACTGTTTGTCCCTTTCCTTGCAATTCTTAGTTATATAAGTCAGAAACATCAATTTGAATAACCATTCTTTATCGTTTCATTCGTGTAAATGTTGTTCGTCTCATTAAGAAAACCTTTAATGGTTTCCATACATGACACAAGCTTATTCAACACTTTACCTCGATCAAGCCAACGGACTTAGCTGTATCCACATGGAGATCCACATATTCGTTTTCCATTTCTTCTAAAAAAGATTTAAATTGCCTGTGTACCAATGAAGAACGAGACACTATAAAATTAACTATTTTAACAACTGTGTTTATTACAGGAATTAAGCACTGTAACGAAATTTTTGTGACAAAAAATGGAAGTTCAATACTTTATGTCCAGTATGAATTTCAAGATGTTTGACAAATCCTCTTTCCTTGCCAACCACTGCAAGAGCGCCATCAGTAGTTATAAAGAATATTTTATTTATATGAATGTTTTCACTTTCAAAACAATTTATAAATGAGAAAAGAATATCCTGCCCCTTAGTTGTTCCAGACAGACGAATCGAGCTGCATAATTCTTCATAACGTCGAGCTTTATCGCCATATTGCGCAATTACTGCAAGGTACTCAATATCATTCCACATCGGTATTTCATCACGAGCAATAATAAATGCAGCAGTTTCTTGTAATCCAGAATTCTGTTTTGTTGGTTCGTTTTCTGTTATTTAAGTTATTTGTTTTTCAATAGTTCGTGTAGAAGCCGGTATTTGTTGTGCCGGTATTTCTTGTGTCCTTTATATATTCGCTATCATTGAAAGATTTGCCTTTGGCAGCTACACAATAAGCAATTACGAAACTACATTCGGTAGCTTTAGGTTTATTTCCAACTGTTTGAAATAAAATGCAACTTATTTCTTATATCCAGTAACAGCTCTTTTTATAACTTCACATTTCTCATTGAAATTCTGAAATATTTACTGATATTTAGTTGGAAAATGTCTTTGTACACTGAAGTGCGATATACGACACTTCGCGACGTAACACACATGTAGCACGATCCCTTTGTTGAATGAATCCATATTCATTCACCCAAAAGTCTTTAAAACCGCGAACATCAAGCTTTCCTTTTTTAGTGGCCATTTGATTAGATATGTAGGCATGAATTGTCACAATAATTAAACAAGTGTTCGCAATAAAACTAAGAGTGAAAGGAGAGAAAATACATGAGGCGTGAAGTGGAACGGCGTAGAGAGGAGAGACAAAGCGATTTATCTGTATCTGATAACGTGGTTATAGAGTGCCACTGAGAATTGTGCCTACGCCTGCTCTACCATTTTATTTCAGGTGATGAGGAATAGCTTAGAAAATTTGATCTTACTGTTTCCAGGGATCTAATTCAGGTTCTTGTACACACGTTCTATAAAGTGTGTGGAATAAAGGTTGTTTCCTCTATTCGTACACCATCCTTAAAAAAAAATCTGCTATGGACATAACATGACTTCCTTGTACCGCGTATTAAATTATACACATTTTTTCCTACACTTTATTTAAACTTATTTCCTCGAATTAATTAATTTAATTAACCGATCCATGAAGGCCAATTGAAAATTTCGAATTTTGAAATTAAATATGTTGGTCAGTTTTTTTTGTGCGAGAGTCAAACATTTTAGAATTTTATTTTTGCATAACGAACGTAAACCTTTCCCAGATATACGTATAAAATGAGGGAGACCGCATTGAAAGTCAGATTTCGTTTTTTTTAACATTATTTCTTTTAATTTTGACATTTCCAAAGCATGAATATTTTCGTCATTTAAAACACTTCTGTAATTTTAAGTATATGATTACGACCAACGATTGCCAATAAAGGCCGAGTAAGAACATTTAAGCCGGCTAAGGGTTTTTATATGTACAGTGAAATTGAGCCATTGAAAGCCATTGAAAGTGAAATTGATCCAGTTCAACCATTGAAACATCTAGTCTTTGGTTGGTGAAAGACTGGCCCACCACCCTTCTCCAGCTAATACGGTTGATGAAGTGTGGCATAGACTTGAAGCAGCATGAAACCAATTGCCCGTTTCTGTCAACCAAGCCTAGTTCGACTCTATGCCTAAACCAGTGATTCTCAACCTGTGGGGAGGGGGCGCGAGGATATCCAAGAGAAAATTTTATTTAAAAAATTGATTAAGTGACTGAAAGGAAAGAACACACACACACATACAAAACAAAATACATTTCGACATATTTAATAATTAACTTATTAAATTAAAACAACTTACTAAATTAAAAACAAATTTAATAATTATTAGTGACTTCCTTGGGCCTGTCTTGCAGAGCAAAGTTTTTCGAAGGAGGGTTTAATATTAGAAATAGACACTCTCAGTTCTTTTTCTATATTTAGCTGAGATCTATATTTTGTCTTCAAAGAAGCCACCGCAGAAAATCCAGTTTCACAAAGGTAAGATGTTGAAAATGGTAGTAGAATGCGAAATGCCCTTGTTTTTAGTGCAGAAAACTCATCATCCACTCCTGCCCAAAATTCAAAGAGTGGTTTATAACTAAATTGTCTTTTGGTTTCGCCGCTTGCCGTGAAATCTATGAAGGTTTCTTCCTCTTCAATTGAGAGTCCTTCGGGAGTATTTTGAAATGGATCCCTCACCCACTTGTAACTTGATATCAGTTTGTCGTCAGCAAGAAAGTACTTTTTAAAATTCTTTGCTAGCATTGCTAAATGATTTTCAATGGTTACAAAAACAACTTTTACATGTTGTTCTTCAGCCTTGTAAGTTTTAATACAATCATTCAAATTTGTAAACATTGTTAAATTTTATTGCTTTAAATTTCTGCTCCACAATTCCAATTTCCTACAAAAAGCATTAACTTTATCACTCGTATCCAATATATGTGTATTTGCTCCTTGCAGTTGAAGATTCAAGTTATTTAATTTCTCGAATAAGTCGACCATGTAGCTCAATTTCATCACAAATAAACTATCGCGAAAATTCTCAGCTTCCGTTCTGTTTTCCTCTTGTAGGAAAACGGCGATTTCTTCTCTTAATTCATAAACACGTTGCAAAAATTTCCCTCGTGATAACCATTTTGTCTCGCAATAAAATAGTAACACTGAATGTACTGCACCCATGTCTTTACAAAGTGCGGAAAAGATTCTTGATTTCAGAGGTTTCATTTTTATATAATTTACTACGGTTACAACCGTAGTTAACACAATATTCAAACCAGGACTCATTTCTTTGGAAGCCAAAGCTTTTCTGTGGATCATGCAATGTGTCCAGACGCACTGTGACGATTTTTTGTTTTACAAGTGCTTGAATACTTTGGAATCTTCCGGACATAGAACGAGCACCATCGGTGCATATTCCGACGCGATTTTTCCATTCTATGTTTGCCTCGTTCATAAAATCATTTAAGATAGCAAATAATGCGAGTGCTGTTGCTTTGAGTTCTATTGGATTTGCAGAAAAGTAATTCTTCTACTACTGACAAATCATCAACAAAATCTAACATAGGAAATGAAATGAGCATCTTTATTACTATCTGTTTCCTCATCGAGTTGTATTGAAAACAATTTGTCACGTAACTTCGACAAAAGCTGACACTCTACATCTTCAGCTATATCAGCAATTCGACGGGCAACAGTATCATTTGAAAGAGGTATAGACTGCAATTGTTTTGCAAAATTATCTCCAAACATAATTTCTACAATCTCAATTGCGGCTGGCAAAATAAGCTCTTCACCAATGGTGTGAGGCTTTTTACATCTGGCTATTTTATATGAAACTTTGTAAGAGGCAATTAAAGCTTTTTCATTCACAGACAAAGTTTTTTTTAAACAATGATTTTTGCTTTTCATATGATTTTAATTTTAATTCGAAGAATTCTCTGGGTTTGTTTACGTACTCACTATGAAGCGTTTCCAAATGTCGTTTAAGTTTATTAGGTTTCATGCTGTCTCCCGCCAACATTTTTGAGCAAATGATATACAGGGGCCTTTCTTCTTCATTTACTTCAGTACTAGTGAACCCAAAATTAAAGTATTCTTGAGAATATTTCTTTGATTTTATTTTCGGAACTACGCTCGTCTGCACTACTTGTTGATGCTTGTCTATCGTCTAATGCTCGCTTACGCCCGCTTAAAAATTTATCCATGATTCTGCATAAGTCTGCTACCGTGAATATTTAATACGGTGAATTGCAATTACACGAAAACATATATAACGTAACATTCAGAATAGATTCAATAGCGATAGAAGGATCGACTCGAATGAGATTGTCTGGAATTGAAATTGGCGTCGTAGAACTTTCTCCTTTTCCCTATGAGAAAACATTTGTTCACATCTGCGCACGCTCCTAACTTAACTTTTGAAGCTGACCAGACAATTCAGACAAATCGAAACTTCTCGCGAAACCGTGAGAATGCCCGACATGGCGGGACGCAACGCAAGAGCAATAAAAAGGCATAGGATTCTTGTTTTTTCAATGCTGACGATCGGCGTTGCAAAATGTCAATAAATTTCCGTATTCTTGGTAATTTGTAAAGTTTAAAATTAAGGTTGTAGTGTAGGTTTAGCGCCAAAATACTCAAAATATATTATTATTGTATACATTTTATTGTATGCGGTGGGGAGGGGGGGCCGCGATGAAAATTATGAATGAAAATTGGGCCGTGAATACTAAAAGGATGAGAAACACTGGCCTAACCAGATAAAGGCCGTGTTAGATGCCAAGGGTGGCAGCTGTTTCTACTAATTTCGCACCCTGTAAACCCCCAAACTGCTTACAAATTTAATCATTTTATCTTCATGCCATACTGTTTTACGTACAATAAATATCTTTTTTGTGTTTGCTTTCCTTCATGGTGCTGCAATTTTAATGGCCAGCAGTGTATATACCATATTCATTTAACACTGAGAAACTAAAATTTTGAGACCTAATATTTTAAAAACTAACCAGGCGGTTTTAACGAAGCCTGGCACTTTTATCATAATTTGAGGCTTAGGGTCTAAGTATGGAAAAAAATTGGTAGGTTATTCAAAAAAGTTTGATTCTATGTCAAAATACCTATTTAGAACAATGTTATATACAAATATAATCTACACCCTAAATCGCGTTTTAACTCCTACTGATTTGAATCTTGGAAACATAACACCTTTTAGAGAGGCTACATGACATTTCAAGTGCAAAGAAAAGTAGTATTTATCCTCCTAATCATCTGATATATCTCTCAAATATAGCACTGTTCCATAGGCTAAAAGAGATCAATCTGAAAACGAATGAATTCAAATGAAATAAGTTTAGAATTCAGATTTGAAAAATAACATCTAGGAATCAAGAGATCTTCTAAATGTTCATCTTCACTACACAATAACTATCACTTGTAATCCAATAAGGATGAAAGTTTGTCGTTCCGTTCCGGATCCCACTCCATAGTTCTTGTAGAACGCATTTCAACTTTTTGATGAAAGATCCTCGAAACTCAATTGGATCATAAATATGACCCACTGCTCGGATAGTAAATCTTCAGTTCCATTCTTGACAAACTTTAATAGTTCTTTTACGTTGAGAGAAATACTATCCGCATCTGGGTCCCAAACGAGACTCGTCACCTTGGATGATGAGCCAAATCCCCGTACTCGAGCTCCTTTCCCAAATGCTAACGACCTCAGCATCTTTCCACAGCTCTCAAAATTTCATGTAATTGGTTTCCCATCTTCTTAATATTACGTCTTTGAAGAATTTCCGTACTTTCAGTCGTAATCTTCAAAGCCTCTTGCAAGTCTTCTTTGCTTTTAATTGAACTGTGTACATACAACTTGCAGGTATCAGGAAATTCTTCTCTGCATTTATGAAAATTGCATATCAGATCCTTTAGAAAATCCTCCACGAAGGCATTCCTCTCTTTAGGGAGATAGGCCAAATGTGCTTTGCCATAATTAAACAAAGCAAACCAAACTTTCTATGGAAACAATGTGTTAGGTATAATGCAGATGAAAATTTATATATTAATTTAAACAAACCTAAATATTGCTGTAATTAAATTATAAAAAGGAAATAAATGGTAATTGATATGATTTTTATCACTGATAATAAGAACATTATACAATTATTTTTAAATAACTGGCAATTTTTGCTTACTAATTTTGCTACTACTTGGTTTTTTGCTTACTCGTTAAGAGCACCGAATTTTTCAATGCCTCCAATGAAGTTGAATTTGTATGAATTGGAATTTCAATGTCACAAATGAATAAATGATTTCAGTGCCTCAGTATGCACAAAATGTTAAACGAAGTGTCTCCTACTTTGTTCATCTGGGCCAATCTTCATTGGAAAATCAGATAGTTCTTACGCCTTTTTAAGCAACTCGTTTAACTTATAAGTTAAAGGCGCTTTATCTGCTTCTTTATTGTCATTTTTTTACTGTAGGCTGATGTGATAAAATCATCCAGTTCTTCATTCATTCATTTTTTTGTCTTCTCCTTCTTCCATGTCTAGAAACCCGTCAGCCGCAACGTTTCTATGGCTTCATTTTTAATCGACGGAAATCTTTCAAAATTATTCATAATTTCTATCAGTGCTGATGGCAGCAAACATTCAATGTTGATGAATGAACGTTGTGAATGAAGCTCTAGGGTTGAAAATATTAAATGAAAATAATTATGATAACACGTATACGCAAAATCAGGTTTCACAAATCCGCGTTCTACAAAGATTTGCTGTAATTAATAATAATTGTAATAAAACTAAGTTTATTCTTTTTAAATCCCTTAGTTTGTTATTTAATAACAGAAAAAATTTGAAAGAAAATTTAAGTATCTTAAGCTTTGCTGAACTGAACTACAAAACACTGCCTGTGGATATAAAATATTTTAATTTGGGCAGGAGCAACATATTTCTTTTAAATTTCTACATTTGTCTGAAAACTTCGAAAGACAAATATATTGCAAGTGGTAACATACTTCTTTCATATCGCCTAGTTTTCTGATTAAATTTGAAACATAAATATCTAGTAATGATTATGAAATAGAATTAGCAGATTATAGAAGCAAATAATGATTATAAAATAGAAATATATATATAAGGATTTTAATGAGCGTAGCTAGTATTAATTCCACGTGCATTACATTCAATATAGCCTTATCATATAAGTCACAAACTGGCCAAATAAATCATTTTTGCATCTCGCAAGCAAGATGATGAATGGAAAACTTATTACTCTTTCTAAGCGTACTTCATGTTGCAATGATTTACAGAAGAGAGAAATTTCATTTTTTCCCTGGTCTCAAAGGTCTGTTAAAATACTATATTTTCCCTAATTTCTAATTAACTTTGCCTACGTATAAAAAATATTAAATAATTAACGGAGAAAATTAATTGACATTGGTTACTTTTGTCTGACAGCTATAATTTTACAATCTCTTGATAGAAATATTCCTTTTAACTTATTTTTCAGACATAGAAAAATAATGGTATTTTATTCCATTTAATTCTACAAAATGGAAGTTATTGCTTCCTCGGCTCCATTCAGTCTGGATCACGGATCGATCTTCTCGGTTCAATAACAGCTTTTTAATGTGTTTCTGTTTCTTTCCATTGTCCAATTTGTGCAAATAATTGAGTTACGTCCAGCTGGGAATCAAAATAACATGGAAGAAGTTAGATGAAAAAGTTTTTCTTCTAAAGACTTACAAACATTTAAAGCACAAGGATTTTTTAAGGGGAACAGCCTTTCTAGAATTACTTTTGCTGTTCTTAGAATGGAAGTAGAAACACTAATAGGAAATTTTCCACGTCGCTTATTTT